TGGCGAGATACCTTTTCACAATGCTTTACTTTTACAAGGTCTCTGCTGCGTTACTTTGACAAGGCCTGAGGCCTATTTCGGGTAAAGGCCCTTTTCTTAGTCTCGTGCCGAAATAAATATTGAGCGGCAGCATCAAGATCTGAGCCAAATTGAGCAAAAGCAGCTACTTCATGATATTGTGAGATGAAATTATTGAATCCTAAAAGGAACTTAGATTTTGTGTTTTTTCAAAAGTTCCTTGAAGAAATCTGAGTTTTATCAATTTTGTTTTTCAAAGTGGTATATTGAAGTTTTATATAATTTCTTGTTTGTAAATGGAACGTAAAATTTCTGTTCTGCCGAACGAAGGTGGCGTTTTTGATGTTATTTGACTTTGCAATCTCGCTAATAAGACATAATAAAAAGAAGTATTAGACTTGAGAATCCACGCGGCACTAGATTGCCTGAGAAGGTTCTCACGCAGGGACCTTAACCTTCAGGAGACAATTCAATTGAATTCGAGATCGTGAGAACTGGGGAAATAACTCCCAAGACAGCATTTTGATTCTGTACCAGGCTGGCTAGAATGGGTAAGCGGGATGCGGCCTGTCCGCTGCAGTTTGCCAGTTCTGGAACTTACCGGATTTTCCCAGGATCCTGCTGCAAATTTGGACTTTGGGACTATGGACATTTCTTGTCGGGTACCGGGCGTAACACTTCTAACGACCTAACGACTAGACCCTACGGACCTATGATGCTTCGGCCTCTGGGCCCTACCAGACTAGTAGGACCCTCTAGGTGGGACCTACTGGGACCAACTGGGACTGCACCCAGGTGGGACTCTGGGACATGGGACATGAACACAGCGTGTTACATGCTGCACCTGCACACGGGCCCCATTTGAGGGGCCCGACGGTTGCTGAGGGGCCCCCAGGCCGCATACCATCCAGCACGCGCCCTGGAGGCCCACGGCGGCCCTTCAGTCCCTAGGCAGCACACTAGGTAGATAGGTTTTATTTTACTGACCTTTTTTGAGTGCTGTCTTATTTTTGTCTGTTCAGGTGCCGTTTCGGACTGGCAGCCCCAAGGCCGGACCTTGGGACTGGGTACGCCGGAGGCGGGCCCGAAACGAGGCCAGGCGCATTTTGGCGCCAAACCGGTAGGTACAGGCGTCGTTTCGGTCCTGCAGGACCTAAGACGACACCTTGGGCCAGGTGCACCGGTAGGAGGCCGTTTTTAGGCGAGGCGCATTTCTGCGCCATGCTGCATCAGCAGCAGCGTCTGGACGTCCGGTAGGGACTCAAACCAGCTGGGCCGTTCTAGGCCACACAGCAGCCTACCCAGTAGGGCCCAGCGCAGTATATGGCTGGGCCTCACGCTGGGTACCGGGACAGTTCGAGTAGCTCACTTCTGGGCGATACGCTGCTGGATAGGAGAGCGCTAGGCTGCGGAGTAGAGAGTAGAGGCATAGGGGAGATAGGGAGTGGCGGAGGCCATACCTGCAGTCGGCGAGCTTACCTGGTGCCATAGCTGGGCTCCACGCGGTACCTGCACACGACGGCGGACACAGGCAGTACGGTGGCAGCAACCTGCAGGTGAGATAGCGAGGAGGACTTCCTCCTCTCTCTCTCTCTCTCTCTCTCTCTCTTCTCCCTCCTTCCTCCTCTTTCTGATCTTCTTCTTCGAATCTGAGAGTGTGAGAGGTTGTCAGTAGGGATTCAGGCAGAGGTTAGGCTGGGCGCATTGCCCAGGATCTGATTCGACATTTCTGGGACAGACGTTGATTGGACACTCGGCAAGGGACTATTTTTTGGGACTTCGCTATTGCGCTCTTGGTCTACTCCCTCGCCTCCTTCCTCCTCGTCTTGTCTCTCCCTCATCTCTCATCCGTGGTATCTCCCCATGTATGTGTGTGAGGAAGGGACCTTTCTTCCATGATTGCGGTCCCTCTCTCTCTCGCATGTGTGCTGTGTGATGGATGCCGGGTCAGTCCAGATCAGATCAGATCCTCTTTAAGTCTTCCACTGCGCCATTGTGTGCCATCTTGTATGTATTCGGAATGTACATTGCTTGTTGATGCTACGTTGACCTCGCATTGTCCATTTTCCTTTTCATCACATAGCGGATCCTTGGCTCCCGGCGCATTGTCCCATTGGACATGCATCACAGCGTGAAATCCTTTCAGTTTGATGCCGAGCTGTCACTTGCCTTTGGTGGATGAATTGGCATGTTTGGACCAGCCTCTTTGTGCAAGTGCTTTGTGTGTGTGTGTGTGTGTGTGTGTGTGTGTGTGTGTGTGTGTGTGTGTGTGTGTGTGTGTGNGAGAGAGAGAGAGAGAGAGAGAGAGAGAGAGAGAGAGAGAGAGAAGCAGCGGCAGGAAAGAAAGGGGACTCGGGAGTCGTCTGGAGTCCGAGGTTGAGCATGCTTGAGTCATACTGTCGTGGTAGAGTGTTGTTGCCGAGCAAGAGGTGTTACCCATGGGCTAACAAGTCACATTCCTTTCTGTTTGCCGAGCAAGAGGTGTTACCCATGGGCTAACAAGTCGCATTCCTTTTGGCTTCTTTTTATCATGTGTTATGGCTTGGCATTCATTGATTCACCTTGTCGGGTGGCTGCCTGCTGTGAGAGGAAGTGCAGTGAATGTTGATGGACTTGTGAGCGTGTGGGATTTTGGTGTCTCTAATGCGAAGAGTTTCCTGGTGATTCGGGTTCTCTGCATGCTCAAATGGTCGTGAAGTTCGTGAACACATGTTGGAGATGGTGGGTGGAAGTTCTGTCTCTGTCTTTCTCTGTCTCTCTCTTTTTAATTGTTTCCTTTTTCTGTTTTTTTTTTTTGTGTGCGTGTCCTGTGGATTATAGGACGTGTCCAAAGGCTTACCACTTGGATTGCATCGGACAAAATGAAGATTTTCTCCTTCAAAAGGGTCGATGGAGCTGCGGTATGTGGAAGTCTTCCGTAAACCTGTTTTGCCCCAGCCTTTGCCCCAGCCCTCATTTTCGCGATGGTGTGAATTTTATCACCTATTGCATGATTGTGCATGTTGACGAGTACCTGGCCAGGAGCAACTTCAGGTCTCCAGGTTGGCCTGTGATCTTGCATGATTATGACTTGCTTCATACCAATATTTATCAATCAATTTTGGCATGGCTGGTGATGGATTGGTTAAGAATGGTGGAAGTGTGTTTTATTTTGTATACCCCTGCTGGTTATATGCTGTTGCTGGAATATCCCTCTACTCTGTGGCAGGTTCCTGCCTGAAATTCAGATGCTTATGTAAGGAGAATGAGAGAGAGCGAAATGACAGAAATCCAGAGTGCAAAATCACATTGGAAGCCAGCAAGTCCAACGCTGTCCAGAAATGAGTAGTGAACTGATATTCCACCAAAGGAGAAGCAAAGCACTGAATCCAAATGTCAATGAGAGCATATTCTCGCCACCACCTACATATGTACCCAGAGTCCTTCCTCCTACTTGGCGCTCAGCGCCCAGACTACGGTCACACAGCTTACTAGCAGACTACGAATTGACAATGCATCCTGTTGACGTCAGCAGAAAAGTACATGAAGATGTCGATCCTTGTAGACCATCACCAAGACCAGGTATGTGCCCTCACATCATCAACCTCATCTCTCTTTCTCTCACCCTTGACTTCATCACCCACGTCTTCTCGCTCATACACGAAGACCACCACCACCTCCACTGGCTATCATACACGAAGACCACCACCACCTCCACTGGCTATCTCCAAGCCGAGCCCGACTATGAGGGCTGGCTATGGCACTGCCCTCAGCAGCGCCCTTCCTCTCGCACCACCACATGCGCCCGCACGCTTGCCCCTCATGCTAACGCAGCAGCCTGCGAGCGCTAGCTCCAGCAGCGCTGCCGTATCCACACGCAAGTGCCCGACCCCCAACACTAAGCCCGGCCCTTTCCTATATGGAAAGTGGAGGGCGCTTTCCACTTGCTTCCCACGTGAGACCGAGTTTCCAGTAGCTTCAGTCTCGGCCAAAGTGTCTGCGCCCAGGCCCGTTCAGACAGTGGCCTGGGACCGAATTGGTTAGGCATGTCCAACCACGGCATAAACGCGCAGTGCTCCCTGCTTCGACCACGTTGCTGGAAGAGCCTGGAAGGCTCACAAATATTTTGGATTCTCACGAGCAAGGCGGATGTAACCAATTGCCGCGTGGCAACTGTCTGGCGCTTACCAAGATTTGCAAAAATTGACGAACTCAGGGCACATTGAGATTCAGGGGGCCCGTCTTCACGTTGGGCGAGCACGCGCCTGTTGCAGGGCCTGAAGCCGAGGGGTAGAACCTCGCACTCTCTCCCCATTTACTTCGATAGTCCTCTGAGAAGTCGTTACACAGCAGGCTGCTTTCCTTTCAAGTTTCTTTCTTAACTTGAGATAATCTGAGGAGCAGTCTTCATTAATTCTTCTCTTGTAAACCACCGATCTTCTTCAGGATCCGTATGATGTCGGAACCGCACTTCCTGGAGGCTTGGGCACATGCATCAGCTTGTGTTTGACGATATCGTCAATGTCCACATGTCCGTCCATGGTTGGTGCCAGCATCGATCTTCTTGAGGGAACTGTTCAGTTTCAGCGAAGGGTGCCAACTTAGATGCATTGGAAACAGGGTATGTACGGAGGTGACCAGGAATGTGAATGACATATGATGGACCGTCAGGTTGATCTCCTACTATGTCCACAATTTCCCAGGGTCCAAAGTGCTGTGGCATCAGTTTGCGTGAGATTCCCAACTCCTGTTCCAACTCAGATGACTTTACCCAGACTTGTTCGCCTACCTGAAATGCAGACAGTCGTCTGTGTCTGTTCTCGGATGCAACCATGGCACCTTGAGCTTTCTTGATGTTCTCTGCCGCCTGCTGCCGTAGCTGTTCGTACTTGATAGCAAATTTGATGCTACCAGGTGCTGTGGTTGGCTGATTTTCAGGCAACAGGAAGTCAAGAGCAGATCTGGGCTTCCAACCACGATGCAGCTGGTTGGGGGTGTTACTGGTAGTGTTGTGCACAACATTTTTGTACAGGCTGGCGATGAGAGGTAACTTCTTATCCCAGTCATCTTGACTTGGCTTAATATAATGCCGAAGTAAGTGCTGCAATACCCGGTTCATCTGCTCGGCCTGCCCATTTGACTCTGGGTGGTTCCCTGATGTCATTTGCAGCCGGGTGCCCATCTGTTGGGCTGTACTTTGCCACATTTCGCTAGTGAATTTGACATCCCGGTCGCTCACAATAGACTTAGGGAGACCGAAGTCACGTACCCAGTTGTCCATGAATAGCTTGATGACGTGGTCAGTCCTAGCTGTCTCAGGCATAGCGATTTGCAATCAGACTCATTTTCTTTTCCACTTCGCATGCATGTAAACAGGTAGCACACCACACTGGCGACAAGCGCCCACTCAAAACTCAGAGATATGGTAATCAAGAACACAGTTCAGATACAAGCTCGCTTCAGATGGCTATGGCCCATCAGCGCCTATACAACTCTCTGTTCGTCACTAGCTCAACTCTGCTGTTCACACACACTCAATTCAGGATCACCCTAGATATCCCACACGCGACACACTGTCTCACAGACATGCACACACTACACTCGTCTACTACCTACAGCGGCTGTGGCCACTCGACCCTGCTGGCTATGGCTACACCACCTCTGCTCTGCCCACTTCGTCTTCGGGCGCTCTGCAGACCACCTCGCACAAGTCACTCAAGCAGTGCTTCCGCATGGCTTACGCAGGAATCAATGAATGGCTGGGCGCTGCCTCTTGATTTATACTTCTGTAGCTCGTTGGTCTGCCCCTTTCCCATGGCCCTGGTGCACACAGTCCCACACAGTACTCGTTTGACTGGTACCACTGACTGCATGGGTTTACACGGCCAACTCAATGCAGTCGCACTGCCGACGTACCGCAGTTGGGCTCACCACTTGCCCACTTGCCTCTGTCTAAACGTGAGCAATACTTCGAAAGGCCACCACTAGGACCTTCCGGAAGGCTGCAGACTTGGCCTTTCGAACACTGTAGCAGGTACGACCTTGACTTCTCAGGACACCTACAGCTACGACCTCTAGGCCTCACTAAGACCTCTATCCAATAGGTCTACAGATCGAACCCCTACCACCTACGGACCTACGACAGCCTATCAACTGTTGTGAATACACAGGTCACGGGTTCAACTCTCGGGGTCGACACAGATACTGTACACAGGCAAGGTAAGAACTAGGGATCGAACCTTGGGATCTGCATTTGCTACTGCTAACAGGTGAATACCATTTCAGATTAGTCTAGCGTACTTAGTGAACCTGTCCACAATGACGAAGATGTGACGTTTACTGCTTTTGCTGGTCACAAGAGTATCTATGAAATCCATGGAGACACTCTGACGAGAACCAGCAGGTATAAGCAAGGGCTTAATAAGCCCAAACGGTGCCTGTGTCCGTGGCTTGTCCCGTTTAATAGCCGCCAAAATTTCTGCACTAAGTTTGCAGCTGTCTTTTAATAGCCGAAATGTACGGTTGCATCATGACACTCACCTAAAAGTAAACTATGCAAAGACTCTATTTGGGACACACTAACGTTTAATCCCAGCCTTCTCAAGGAACAGCAAGTCGTCACCAGCACAAACTCATCGGAAGTAACCTTGTCTTTAACTTCCAGTTCGGGGATGATCTCGAACATGATAGTGTCCTCTTGATAGGCTTCTACCATAGATAGAGTAACATCATAAGAAATACTAAACTCAGTCACTGTCGTGCCCAGAGTCTGCCCTACGCGATAGTGCATCAGCCACTTTGTTGTACTCTCGCTTCAAAGGGTCGAGCTTGAAGTCATACATATCTATGACTTCAATCCACCTCTTTAGTGCGTCGGAGAGCACTGGCTGTGTCTTTATCCAGCGCAGCGTCTTATGGTCAGATCTCACATAAAAGAATCTGCCTAGGAGGTAGTGCCTCCAATGGACCAACGCTTTGTAGAGGGCATAGAGTTCACGCTCATACGTGGACTTCGCTAATTTATGAGATGGCATCTTTTTTGCATGTACTCCATCAGCCTCAACTTTGTCCCCTCCTGCACACTATCGGCTGGTCTTCTGTGGTCACAACAAAGGGTTGTTCAGGATCCGGAAGTTTGAGGACTTCATAGTGCGTTAGGGCATACTTCAATCTCTTGAAGGCTGCCTCACACTATTTGGTCCACTCCCATGGGGTGTCAAGGCGTGTGAGGTCAGTTAGAGGGGAGGCTACAATACTATAATTCTTGACAAACCGGCGGTAGTAGCCTATCATCCCGAAGAATGATCTCACCTCAGTCACAGACAGAGGTCTGGGCCAGTCAGGTATGCTGGCCACTTTGGAATCATCCGGCCTCAATCCATCCACGTAATCTCATGACCCAGATACAAGATCTTGGTGCGACCAAGTTCGCATTTCTCCAAGTTAACCTTGTATTGGTGATGTCTTAGGAGCCCTATCGTTGTTTTGACGTGCTCAGCGTGCTCCTCTACACTCCTACTAAAGATAAGGATATCGCCGTGAAAGATCCGGTTCATTGCGTGCTGGAACGTCCCAGGAGCATTGCATAGGCCAAGGGGTATCACCACAAACTCGTACATATCGTATCTGGTCTGAAAGGCAGTTTTGTGATGGTCCTCAGGTCTAATAGCAATCTGATGGTATGCGGATTTCAGATCTATCTTAGTGAAGTACCGACATCCTTGTCACTCTATCGAAGAGATTGTCAATGCGTGGTAGGGGCTCCGCGTTCGTAACAGTGATGGCATTGAGGCCCCTATAGTTAATGCACATCCTTAGGGGGACATATTTTGTCGAATCCAGCCCTTCTCCATGAGCTCCTTGAGCTGACGGCAGAGCTCATTGAATTCCGCATGCGACATTCTATAGATCCGCCGTCTGGGTACTTTGCTACTGGGGACGATTTCTATCGCGTGGACAATCTCCCTTTCTACCACACCCCTAGGCTCCTCGAAAAGGTATGAATATTGTGCACGATTGCTTCTATCTCTAGGGGTGATTTTACGGCCTACCCTTTCTCAGAGACAAAAGTCGAGGTACATACCTTCCTCGCGATTCTGCTTGTGATAGTTATAGAAAGACGACGCGCACATGCATCCATAGTTCTCCACTAGTCTGCTAGCCTTAAACTTTCACAGCCTAACAGTCCTTCCGTTTGGCAACTTTGGGATCATCACCTTTTTATCCCAATCAAATTGAGGTTTAGCAACCTCAAGGTAGTACATGCCTAGCAACATGCCGAATGCCAGCTCGTTGGTAACTATGAACAAGATTGTGTGTCCCAGTTTCCCCCCTCCATAAGAGATGTTATAGACTATGTCCTTGACATAGTCTCTGACTATCAAGGAGTGCTTGTTGGCTCACTATATGCGGGAACGTGCTCTGGCCTTCGGCCCTTTGTTTTGTGTGTCAAATTCGATACATGTACGAGTTCACCTAGTGAAATGTAATGGGCATAATCCGCAGGAAACCAACATATGTCTGTGTAGGATCCTCAGAGACTATATGTGAAACAACTTCAGGCGGTTAGTATAGTCGCCTTGAAACAAGTTTAAGGTAGAGTCCGTGCGATGTAGAGATACATAGAGTGCTACTAGTGTATATGTATACTGAGCAACAACAGGCTCGAGCGGGCTAGTGGCCAACATAACAATTAGAACGTCGTGAGACAGTTCGGTTATGTAGATGCTACAAATCTGCTAAGCCGGTGCACTTGGTCCCCTAAGCGCAACCTATCCACACAAGCATGAGAGAGGAGGTTTTGCGTAGAACCTATGTCTGCGAAGGCGCCAACCTTTCGGCCACCTACATCGACTTCTACCACAAAATGTTCACCCTTTGGACCTTTGTTCAACATCGCTTAGGAGTCTCTATGGTCTTTCTCTAACCACTCACTTTCTAACTCCTCTAACACATCCATCGAACAAAGCATCGATTGGTCCGGATCTGTCTGCGGGGTGATGAAGGTGTCAATAGCCTTGGCCCTCGTCTGAAATGGAGAAGGTAAGGTAACTACTTAAGCATGAGTAAGAGCGACTAACACTCCTACTGGCCTGAGGTGTTTCCTTGGGAAGTGCTTGCAGAAGCACCTCCAGAGTTGGAACATCCAACAGTCATGATAGGGGACGTGATTTCCCAGCGACCCGCTTACTCTTCTCTGTTTCTTCCCTAAGATCAGAGAAGTCATCAATCTCAATTGCTTGGCCGTTGTGGTCAACAAACATGAGATTGCCCTTTTTCTTCCAATCCTGAGGGAACTTCTTCTTCCTCCCATCTATTGGTCCCTACTGGGCCCTCCCAAGCCTAGCCTCTATATCTAAGGCCTTCTTGCTGAATGAAGCAAAGTCATGCACATCGATGGAGGCCTTATCGACCAACTTATGTTTGATGTCTGTAGGCAGACATCGCAAGGAAGTTGTCAAGAGGACCTGCGGTTCGTACAACACGCCAGGGACAACAATCAGTCGCTCTACGGCATCTGTTGCCTCGCGAACTGTGTGGTACCTCTTCGATCCCAAACTAGCCAACGATTCGGAGGCCTTCTGAGCCCCTTGGGGATCATGCCACCTGCTATAGACTAACCGTACGAACTTCTCCAATGATCTGGCTTGTGCCCAGTCACCGAAGTTATGACCGTAGCCCTGCTGCTGTACTAGCCCATTCAACCATGTAGCTGCAGATCCTTCTAGAAAGGACACAGCGACTATGACTTCCTCCTCTGTCCTAGTGAGCTTATGCCTCACGTACGTAGGCAGTCCTCACCCAGGTATCCAAGTCCTCGTCCTTGTTCTTGTCGCCAGAGAAGGGTTTAGGACTCAACAAGGGTATCTTGAGTGTCCAATGCATAGTCTGTACAGGAGCCTGTGCCTGCTGCATAGGTTGAGAAACCGGTGGAATAGGCTGCTGTGGCGTCACTTGTTGCTGCAACGGAACTTGCTGCTTCTGTGGTAGCTGCTGCGGCGGCGGACCTTGTTGCCAGGGCTGCTACAGTTGTGGCTACCCTAAGCAGCAGCCACTGAATGGGGGAATGAAGAAGGCTGTACAGGAATCTGCCCACTAACATACCACCACTCCGCCTGATGGGGGTATGCTAGACTGTGGGGTAGAGGGCTGCCCTGTCGGCGGCAATGTCATCACAGGACCTGCAAACATAGGGGGGACTACAGCAAACTGTGGTTGCCTCACCTGATGTCGAGGCGCCCACAATGCGGTCAGAATCCGGTTCTGACTAGCTATTAGTGTAGCCAACATCTCTTGTTGTACGGCTTGCACTTCGGCTACACTCAGCAAGGAGTTCTGAAGGGACAGAACCACATGATCAAGTGTCGACTCATCTATAGCTTCTAGTTTGCCCAGCTCCTCTGCCCTTGACTCTAGCCTGTTTTTTCTAAGTCTAGCTCTTTCTCTTCTCTCCTCAACCCATTGCAACTGGGGCTGTAACTCATTGTGGAGATTGTCCGCTTCTTGGATCTCATAATCCTCTGCTGACAGTTGTTGCTTCTGGCTGACCTGCAACCCAGCAGACTGTCTAGTGGAAGTTCCGGATGTACCCGAACTTGTACCTGACGAAGTGGCCTGTGAAAAGGCCTGTGACATAGCAGCTCTAACGTTTCACATGCCATGACTTCACTCAGGGCCCTGCTGAATTCACACAGGCCAGGCCTTTACATAGGATCCCGCTGCATTTACACTTGGGGGATCCTCATGGCCTCACAACACTTGCCAAGGAAGGAGCAAAACGCTTGGCTTAGTCACCAGCCGAACGGAGGAAAAGGAACCAAATGCTCAGGGCTGTTCTTGCTCTGAGGTGCACTGTGCAGCTCACTGCGCATTTTGAAAGAAGAATGAGCTTGGCTTGTACATATTGCTGCCTGCTCAAGCACCAGTACATGGAGAATGAGCTTGGCTTGTACATATTGCTGCCTGCTCAAGCACCAGTACATGGAGGCGGCCAATGTTGTTACAAATGGCTGGCCCACAACCCACGTAGAGTAAAGGTTCATTGGATGTTTGGCCCGACAGTGACAGTTTATGCTGAGCCTCCTAAATGTTGAGGCTGGCAAATGTCCGCCCTGACTGCAGGCCATCTGGCATATGTATAAAAATATCAGGCAAAGTTAACGTTATTCAGGAAAAGCGTGAAGGATTTTGCCCGTCCCTCAGAAATCCAGCTGGAACTGTTCAGCCTGATTTGTGTACATTTCCTCCCTTTCTAAGGAGAACATGACTTGGCTAAGGGAAGTAGCCCTCAGATACCAAGGAGATGCTGAAGGACAACTAACAGTTACACTATTAGCGTAATAATACTATGCAATGCTGGTCTCCTCCAGAGCAGACCGACCAATAGTAGTATGTGCCCAATCTGCTAGCATATCCCCAGTCTACTGTACAGCTGGCTGACATCCCATGCTGCACAGCCCACTGCTGTTCCCACCGATGACGAGCCGAAGGAAGTATAATGCTGGAGCTCACTTGGCAACCGACAGCTACCTCTCACGGTCCTCCTCATTCCTCCAAGCACTCCCTTTTCTTCGCGCCACCTCTCTCTCTTTCCATTTCACCACAAGCTATGGATGGTGCGCAGCGCTCTCTCGGGCGTTGCCTGGCCAGCCAATGTTTTCCTTTGCTCAGCATGCGCTCGAGCAGCAATGTGGTCTGTCTACAGCCCGGAAGGTAGAACTTCTGTCAAGGGCGTCACTGTGAAGGCTGGCTGGAGTGAGCTGGCAGTCTAGTGCCAGCTCAGCAGCCAGGGCTTGTAGCTGGACTCTCCCTGCCAAGCCAGCTTCCAAAACTGGGCAGGCCAAACGTTTTTCAGGCCGAGTTTAGGTCCTCAGCTTGGCCATTCCAGGCCCTTGTTGCTCCATAACTTCATAAGTGATTCTTTGGCAAAAAAAAAAAAGAAATCCTGAGGGGATATTTGCACCTTATTCCATGTGTTGCTCCTGCCTATTGTAATTTTGGTGAACAATCATAAGTGAGAATCCTATGGGGCTCGCCTAATCGCCTGTTGTTGTTCTGCCTTGCAGGGTGGCACTTTTGTGCAACGTGCAAAAAGACAGGAAGGTATCAATGCTTGACTTGCCCTAATGCATATTGCAAGGAAGATGTGGACGGTGCAGGCTTCCAGAAGCTGTTGAAGACACGTGGATTGTGCTCAGAGTGCTTCCCTCTTGTCAACATGATTGAGCATGGAGATTCTGTTGATCCTGATGGGGTAAGTCTCAGAACTCCGTTTGCTGCTGTGCTCCGTCTTGGCTGCCAGGTTCCTTGGCCTAGAGCTGCATGCTTGCAACTCGTCTGGTTTGGTGGGTTACTCCTGGGAGTTTGCTTGCACTTTTGGCTAAATGAGAGAGAGGCCTGTCTGAGTGTCTCATCCTTCCTTCATTGCTTCTCAACAGATAGCGAGTTCCTGTGTGGTTAAGCTGAATCATCTGTTGAGCTAGAGTTTGTTGCCATTTTTCTCTTAATGACAAAGCATTTTAAAAGGGCCTTTACCCGTTCAGACCCTGAATGACGAACGCAGCATAATGGGGCCCACTCGGCCAGAACTCAATTCGTGAAAAGCAGATCAAAAGACATGTTCTCTGGGTCAAAAGTCACATCCTAACTGAAGTGAGGAGTTGTGTCAAAGGTCACAGTCGTGCCCCAGGACGAACAGTTGCAGCATTCAATTGTGAGAGTCACGTCTGTTCGTCCAGGGGGCTGTGCAGGTCATGTCTGTTCGTGCAGTAGATGTGCCTGTTCATGCAATAGATGTGTCTGTTCATAAAGAAGTCAAAGAAATAAGGTTCCAGTCCAGATCCAAGTCAAAGGGGGAGTCTAGATGCAGTGTTACATGCTGCACCTGCACACGAGGGCCTTTTTCCTGGCCCTGCGTCCCTCAGGCTGAAAGCCTGAAAACCAGGGCCTACAGGCCCCGTGTCTGTTTCAGCCTGA